TTTTCAGTCATCCTATCTCAACCTTATATTAACTTTTCTTTATTACTCTACCAATTATGTCGACAAAAAATCTAGAAATACCAAAAATAGAAATAAATCACTGTTCTAACAACTCTAGTTACTCTTAACATCTGCCCTACCCTAGCTTTTTAAGTCCTTTGATGATAATCTTACATTAAAAATCAATTCAACGGAAAATTCAAGATAGGACAACAATAATTGGTACAGTTTGAAGAAAAATACATCTCTCTCCATAAATAATTATTTTAATAATACTTTTATGATGTAAGGGTGGTATTATTGTAGAATACATGGTCCAAAGTGAGATAAGTGATTTTTTTAAAAGTTTAGAGGTGCTACTTGATATTGGTAGAAACTTTTTTGTCCGAGCAAGAAGGGATGTGATTCGAGAAGTAGAGAGAGGAAGGGCGGATTTGAAACCAAAAGTTCTAATTCTTGGGATCTCAACTTTAGTTAGTAATCTAAGGTCTCTTCACTATTAATAGAAATCTTGCTGAAAGTAATGCTGACTTCAACTAATAAGGGAGATAAGTATATTACTAGAAGTTAAGGGGAACTAAGTGATATTATCAAAAACCAACCTCAAGGAAGGTTTTTGAATTATCCCTAATAACAAAATGTTAGAATACTTTTATAATGTAAGGGTGGTTTTATTTAAGGGGGGCAATGGGGCGGGGGCGCTTCCCCCACCCTGCCCCGCTTCCCCCACGGGGTTAAAAAAATTTATTATATAATTTCATTATAATTAAATTTTAGTAAATAATCAAGTACTAAAATATCAACACATCACCAAATTATTATTTATTGTAACTTCACAATTGAAACTCATAAAAATAATTAAATAAAAGTTATTTGAATACAATCTAATATGATAAAACAAATATAACTAAAATAATCAAGTTTTCACTTTTGATACAAATACAATCACTAAATTATTATTCTATTTTTTTAGAAAAAAGTGTTATTGTATTAAGCGTAGTTAGGAATTTAATATAAATGTATTAATAAATTTAGTATAAATAATTAATAATTTTTATTAATAGACATGTATAATTAGTAGTATAATTGATAATATCAATTATATTACATATACTAATATACATTAAATGATACATATAACTAATAATATCATTATTATGAATTTATAACTAATTAAATTAAATATTATATATAATTATGTACATATATATATCTTTATTTTTTTTAAACGGGTGGCCCACGCCCCGTTTCTAAACGGGGGGAACAAATTCTCCCCGCCCCAATAGCCCGCCGCGGGGCGGTGCCAGCGGGCCCCCGTCCCCATTGCCATCCTTAGTTTTATTACAAAATACATGGTTCAGAAGGATGTTAGTGATATTTTAAAACTTTAGGAGTGTTGGTTTATTTTAGTAGTAACCTTTTTTAAAAATTTTTTTCTAATAGAGGAAGGGTAAGATTTAAAAATAAGGAGGAGGAAAGGGAATTTGAATCCAGGATATCCAAACCCTGAGACCTCAGTCTTAGTTATAGACTAAGGCCTCTTTGGCTATTAGTACTTACTGGACTTTTTTAAAATTATCTTAGGAATCAAATACTTCCTTGTAATATTGACTTTAACTTATAAGGGAGGTAAGTGATTTTATTAGAAATTTAGGGAGTTGAGCAATATTATAAAAAATCTCAAGGGAGGTTTTGAAATTATCCCTAATAAGAAAATGTTAGAAAAGTTAATTAAACATCCATTCCCTCTAATTTTCAATATCCTTATTTCATTTACTCTTGCCATTAATTTCTTTTGCTTCTTTTTTGCCTTGTTGGTCTCAAATTTGGTTCAATATATGTATTTACTTTATAAATTGTAAGTAATTGATTGATAATGAATTATATCATTTTCAGTTATATTCATAATTAAATAGTCAACAACGAATATATATATTTGTATATTAAGCTATTCACCTTTTATCATTCTAATATATTATCAATTGAGTTTTAAATAACGAAGGTACTTTTGTTGAATTATTCGAACTATTCAATAAAATTAAGGGTAAAATGCCAAAAACTCCTTGTGGTTTGCAAAATGTTCAATTTCTCTCTCTCTGGTATAGAAACCTACACTATAACTCATTGTGGTTTCAACTAAATTGAAAACTGGATGAAAGGCATCTAATCTAAATGTTGTACATGAAATGTCAATATTGCTCCTATATAAATGAACTTTGTGTGATTTGTCAAATTTTTTATTTAACTCCCTTTGGTTTGAAAAATTATACTATAACTTTTTGTGATTTTGATTAAATCAAAAATTGAATGCAAAGTATTTCACGCATAGCAAAGGCAATATTGATATTTCACATAAAACTGTTAGGTTAGATGCTTTGCATTCAATTTTTAATTTAGTCGAAACTATACGGAGCTATAGTGTATGTTTCCAAATTAGAGAGAGTTAAATTGATCATTTAACAAATCATAAGAAGTTTTTTGCTATTTTACCCTAAAATTATTCATGTACACAAACAGTAAGATAAGTACTTTAAAATTTTTTTTATTGGAATGATATATTTTAACTAGAAGGAAAAAAGAAGTTATATTATGAATCTAATGTTATCCAATTGTAACTAATGTAATAAAAAAGATGCTTTTTAGGTTATATGATAATGTTGTGCTGGTGTTTTGAGGAAATGATATAGGCATTTAGGAATACATTTGTAATATTTTTAATTCAATTCATACTTTGCTTCATCATAAAGCTCTAATTACATCAACATGAAATCTAAACGACCATATAAATCGAAACTTCAAATTTTAAGAGACAAAAAATGTAAATTAAAAACTTCTTAGTATTGCTGATTTGATTTTACTATTGTGATCTATCAATTGTCATAAATTTGTCTAAAATAAAAAAATTGGTGGACCATATTTCTTTTAATCGAAACATTGGGGATCAATTTGACAAGCAAAACGTTGGCGACTAAAAACTACATCTCTCCTATTGAGAAAATACGCGGAAACATAAACATGTCAATTGAAAATGCTAGTATGAATAAGTTTTCTTAAGTCTAATATCTAGTTATCCCAACAGAGTTGGCCAAAACATTAATTTGAGGTTGCTGAAGATGGAGACTTAGGTCCCTAGTTCAAACCTTGCTGCCAGCAAATTGTGAAGGGTGGGGAATAGTCTGCGGGATCCACTCCTACGGGACACCCCTAAAAAAAAAAAAACTACAACCATAAATAAAAGAGCAGCACAAAAAAATAAATTTTGTTGGTTGTTCCGTTGGCGGACTTCTAATCTTTTTTTTTTGGGTCTTAGAAAACAAATTTTTTTTTTTTTAATAAATTTGTCATAGAAAATTGACAACAAAAAGCAATCTGCCATATTCACATTTCTTCATATTTCTTCACCACATGCATTTCTTTCTAAAGGTCTAGCGGGATTGTTGAGGACCTTGGCCAATTTTGAAATACACACAATTGATACTCTATTGATATGCAGGATTGTCCATGGAAGCTGTATTTTGCAGTTATTACTAAATCCTCACATCTTTCATCCTTAAAAAAATGTCCCAACTCCTGTGAACCTCCGATCAACTTTTAAACATATGGGATTTCTCAAGCTTTTCTTGCTTAATCGCATATTCCTACATGGCTACATATACTTGATGCGTTAAAAAATCTACTAGTCAGATTCCTCAAAAAGGGAGACAATAGTACCAAATCCTAATTATAGGAGCAATGCATTGGTATTCAAGCAACTCAACATACAAATGTACACCGTTTTCATCGACATCAGAAGTTGGGAATCAGATTGGTTACCACGTATTCATTTGGTAACAATTCAAATGCAGGGAAAAAAAAAAGAAAACAAAAATTTAAATGTAGCAATTTTAGAGTTTTCAACCTCTATCCGAGGGTGTAAGTGGGAGTTCTTCGGTTTGAAAAAAGGCAATATTTCTCCCCCATACCTAAGAAGACAATCATTATTTAGAGTTCCAACCAAAATTCCATCCACTTCCTGCAATCTGAGTTTGAATTACATTCCACATACTGGGCATACAAGCAATTCAAAATTGATTCCACCATTTCTGTCATGTCTTTAACTAGGAGTTTGCTACCTTCTCATAGATTATGCTGAAGCAGATGCGTATTTTAGTTTATATCTGTGATCTTAATACAATGGCAATGCAGAGCAAGAAATTGAGACCATTGACATTCCCCAGTATTTGACAAGCTTTGTCACATTGCACATAGTCGAAGTAGTTAAGAGTCTCACTCTTTTTCACTGGTATAAACCATGAAAAAACTACTTGATATAACTTGATAGATAAATAAAAAAGAAAAAACTAACATTGGTCCAAAACAAGAATCAGAGAAAATCTCTGTCCAAGCTGCATCATCTCTTCTAGCACCCTCTTGAAGAATAGTCTTTCTGAAGACTGATCATAATATGGTTTAGGGATATGTACTAATAGCAATAATCAGATCCAATGAATCAATTATTGTCTCAACAACATAACAAGGAATAGATATTCTGCAGAAAGCTTTCCCTGTGACTCACAATTCTCAAACCATAATATGCTGTCACTGGTTTGAGCAAGCAACTAGCTGAACATAAGTTTTGACCAATGGTCCCGAGACAAGTAAACAGGGAAGTAAAGGAATCAATAAACCTAAATAAGCTATTTACAAAGTACCGATTCAAAAAAGGCTAAAAAGCAAACCAAAGATTGCGTAGCAATTACAACAATAGATAGCATTGCAGCCAGGAAAAAACAGTGAATGGTAGTCCACCATCCTGAAAAACATTTTATGATGCATAACCTAGAAGATAAATCAATGAAAAAATACATGGAATGATCTAAGGGTTCATTGTACGTGAACACCATTCCTAGCTAATATGGGCTCGATCACTTACACCCAAGTTAGGAAAAGAAGGTAAGTTCCAGTTAACTTTCTACTTCTAGTAACAGGGAAGCACTGCAGATACAAAATTACAGGGCAGATGAGCAATCAATAATCAGGAATTTAATAAAATTTGATAACTAAACTTTAACGAAAATGAACCAACTGTATATTACCAATTACTAGGTCCAAAAGAGCTTATAAACCCGATTTAACAAAATTGGCACCAAAAGGTTTTCATGGCCAGACTAAGAATATGTGGCATGAAATTTCCAGCCTAAATAACCTGAAACCCAAAAGACATGCCTTACAATCCAAACATATAACCTACCAAGCACTAATTACTTTCCTTCATACCTTCCAAAACCAATTTAGTGTGCTCCTTCATCAAATCCATCTTCATCAATAAAACCTCTACTTCAGCTTCGCGGAATTTCTTCCACTTGCCCTCCAAATCCTTTGCCTTGGCGTCCCCAATCAAACTGATATTCTCTCTCAAGAAACCCCCCCCAACGTCCATATCAATCGAATGGCTCAAGAATGGATACTTCGACTCAAAATCACCTTCATGATCATCTTTCCCCAACTCTTTGACTGCATTCTTATCCACAGAACGGACAGTTTTACCACCTTTTTTTGCTTTGCCATTATAGCCATTGTTGCTCTTACCATCTACATTTTTATCAACTCCCTTATTAATCATCCCATCACCTCCCTTACCCCAAATCTTTTTAGAGAGATCAAAAGTTTCTGCCTCATGACGCTTGTGGAAAACAAGGTCCTCCCCTCCTTTCTCATATTTTTCCATATTATTGAAAAATTTAATCCTCAACCTCCTAATCTTCTCATAAATCTGAGTATTCGAAAATTCAAATTGCAACTTTCCCCTAGCAAAGTCATAAAAAGCAGGCATATTAGAAGAAGGATCAACCCCTTTTTCATCCTTAAAATCAATCATGCTTTGAAGAAGATCGATTACATCCTCCTCACCCCACACCCTCCCAGCACCTCCACTACTCGAATCTTTCCTGAACTCTTCAGCATTAACTTTAGCCTTTTTCTTACCTCTCAAATCGCTTTCATCATCTTTCTCAGCTTCAAAGGGGTGCTTTGAGATGGATTTAGAGTCTTTCGAAGTGGGCTTTGGAGGAGTAACAACTTTGATTCTGAAATCCGACGCAGAAGGAGAATCTATGGAGTTTTCTGATTCCTCATCCTCCTCTCCTTCCTTGCCAGAATATGCAGGGAATTGAGGTGGAGGGGTGGTCTGCTTTTGAACATCGGGCAGAATCTGAGAAGATTTCTGTTTATCTTGTTCTTCTTCAACATCAGATTCTCCTACTTCTTCTTCTTCTTCTTCAGACCCTTCTTCTTCTCCTTCTTCTTCAGAACTCTCTTCCTCCTCTTGTTCCGATGATTCTTTCATCGTTTCTGGCTCTGGCGGAGGAATATGTTTATTAGACACTGACTCCTCTTCTTCAGAAGATGATTCTTCCAGTTCCGGCGGAGGAGGCTGCTGATCAGATATTGGATTCTTGGGTGCCATGGATTGGAGAAGGAGAGGGGTAGAGGAAGGTAACTCACTTGCGTTTAGGGTTTTAGGCGAGAGATTAAAGGACAGAGACAATTAGCAATTTACCCGCCCCCAAGACCGAGAGGGTATATATTAGGGACAATATCAGAAACCTGCCTTGAGGTTTCTGGCTATTTCAGTGGCTTCCCTTTATGTTTTAAAAATTACAATAACCTCCCTTGAGGTTATTTATCATATAATATTTATGTCCAATCAATAAATAAAAAGTGATAGTAAGAGAGAGAAAATAATATGATTCTATCATTATTCCTCATCTATAATATTATTTAATTAATCTAATACCAACTCACATATTAAAAAAACCACTAAAATTTGTTATTTATCATTTGGGATAAAATCACATATAACATCAAAAAAATAATATATCATTTTATATTTTTCACTTAATACAAAATCCAAATTACTCTTTGCAGCTACATACCCGTTGTCAAACATGATCAATAATAAAAAACCAAAAAATTTGCAACTAAAATATTACAGAGAATAAACTTGAATATCATAAATATTCTTGTCAACATATTAAGATTAGTTATTGAGATTTTTATAGTATTAAAGTTCGCTCCTTGTAATATTTTAGTTGCATATTTTTTTAATTATTTGTTATTGATCATGTTTGACAATGAGTTCATAACTGAAAAGAATAATTTGAATCTTACATTAACTAAAATATATAGAATGATATATTATTTTTTATGCCATATGTGATTTAATCCCTAATGATAAATAGCAAATTTTAATGTTTTCTTTAATATTTGAGCTAGTATTATACTAATTAAACAATTTAGTAGATGAAGGGCAATGGTGGAATTATATGGTTTTCTTTCTTCTAATATTATTTTTTAATTGTTGATTGAATTTAGATATTACAAGATAATAAAGTTTAAGGAAAGTTAATATAGTTTTCAAAATATAAAGGAAGACCAGTAAAATAGTTAGAAAGCTCAAGGGAGGTTTTTGAAATTATCCCTATATATTATTGTTAATTATTTTGGAAATATTTAAAGAAAAGAAAAAACGAGAAAAATTGAATGTTCATGAATTGGGGTAAGTTGGACACTGGACCTCAGTGGTTGCGCCACTGAGGGCCATCAACGGTCAATATGGAGCCATATTTATTCAGAAAAATTTGAATTATTCATTTCAAATCTTAAGATGAACATAATTCGATTTGGATTATTAACTGTGTGTATATGTGATTGTTTTATTTTAGGGAATTTGACAATGAAACCCTATTCATTGATGATTATTGGTTGTTATGTATATGATTGTCATATCAATTCCATAATGTAGTTCATGGTTTTTTTTTCGGCAACGATAACATTTTTATAATCTAATCTATTAGTTTAAAGAGGCCATGTAATTCATGATTTTTTTTCCACAACGATAACATTTTTATAACCTAATCTATCATATTCGAGTGACGATACCTTTTTTTGTAACGATAGCATTCTTATAACTTAATCTATCCTATTCTTCCTGAAAGGAAAACGTAAAGAGACTATGTAATTTATGATTTTTTTTCGCAATGATAACATTCTTATAATATAATCTATCCTATTCTACCTTTTTTAGCAATGATAACATTTCTATAACCTAATTTATCCTATTCGACTGAGGATACCTTTTCCTGCAACGACAACATTCATATAACCTAATCTATCCTATACTACCGGAGAAGGGAGTCTAAAGAGGTTATGTAATTCATGGGTTTTTTTTTGGCCGCAAAGATAACATTCCTATAATCTAATCTATCATATTCTACATTTTTCCGCAATGATAATATTCTTATAACTTAATCTATCCTATTTGACTGAGGATATCTTTTTCTGCAACGATAATATTTTTATAAGTTAATCTATCTTATTCTACCGGGGAGGGGAGCCTGAAGAACCTATGTAAGGGGCTAGCAACGATAACATTTTTATAATATAATCTATTATATTCTACATTTCCCGCAACAATAACATTTTTATAGCCTAATCTACCCTATTCGGCCGAGGATACCTTTTTCAGTAATGATAATATTCTTATAATTTAATCTATCTCATTCTATTGGAGAAGGGAGTCTAAAGAGGTTATGATGCGAACTGATTCTCCAAGGACATGTCTTGAAAAATCGAATTGCACAGGCAGCGGAACGATCTATCTTGACCAGGTTATGGATACAAAAGATGAAAAAATCTCGACTCCTCTAACCCCCGAGGTGTGAACCGTGAATTTAATCTCAACCCACAACCTAATGAATTAGCGAACAAAGATTTGTTGGTTGAATGGCGCCACTATTCAGCATGATCTTGAATTGATAAGCCAAAACTTGAACAAAGGAAACATAACTCACTTTGTATCAAGGAATGTTCCCAAGGAACAAGAAAGAGAAAAACTCTCAATTTTTATTCATCTCATAACTCTCTTACAATGGAATAGAAAAAGCCTATTTATAGCTAAAAACTAAACCACTAAGACTAATCCAATTTGGATAAGAATTTAGTCACTTATTTCCTTAACTACTTTTAAATGGCTCAAATAACTGACATAGCTGGCCATATTTATTCATATTAATAACTACCTAACCAACTAAACAAGAAAAATCAAACAAAACAAAAGAAACTAAAAACATGAAGATCAAATAGCTAGCGCTCCATCCTCTTCACGACTTCATGTATTTCAACAGAATCTTGAACATCATGGATTGAATTAAAAAAACCCTCAAGCATCTTGGCACGAGCTAGTGATGGTCCTACTGCTCGTATCATTCTCCTCCTCTTGAAAGCGATTCGTCCTCGAATCGAGATTTGATCAAAAAAAATACATAAGTGTAGCAATAATGGGGGACTTTTTGTATTGTAAAGGGGGATGGAATTGGTAATGGAAATAAACTGAAAATTTTTCTTTTTTTCCCACACAATTAAGGATTAGAAATAATAGTTTTGATGGACTCCCAAAGATGCTAGGAATTGGACAGCAAAGAAAAGTTGTGCACAATGGGAAAATGAAAGTCACGAACTTACTAATCCTAAATAAATTAGGAATTGGAAACCCTAAGGACTCTTCTACCACCTAACCACGGATGGATACCAAAAACGAAAAAGCAAACACAAAAAATACAATTTGATTTTTTTTTAAAATTTGGATGAATAGTAACTCGGATGAACAGTACGATGAACAGTATGCTACAGTACCCCCTCCCCGTGTACAGTATCCAAATTTTTTTTTTTGCTTTTGACAACTCGACACAAGGTTACGACTTCACTTGGAAGAAATTTAATTGGGAGTTAAACCCTTGAAAAACCTGTTTTCAAGAACGTAATCACACCAAGAAATTCCAACCTCGATCAAACAACGAGGTAGGTTAGACTCAACAAATAAAATCAAGAAAACAAGAATAATTTTTTTTAAATAAAAGGTGACTAAGGTTTTGGTAGAAAAATAATAGGAAAAATAAGAAAAGAAAAAGGATATTAACCTGAATCAAGAGCCGAAACTCTGATACCAGATGATGCAAACTCGATTCTTCAAGGACCGCTCGAGAAGAAACGAATTGCACAGGTAGCGGAAGGATCTATCTTGACCAAATTATGAATACAAAAGATGGAAAAATCTCGACCCCTCTAACTCCCAAGGTGTGAACGTTGAATTTAATCTCAACCCACAACCTAACGAATTAGCGAACAAAGATTTGTTGGTTGAATGGCACCACAATTCAACATGATCTTGAATTGATAAGTCAAAACTTGAACAAATGAGACATAACTCACTTTGTATCAAGGAATGTTCCTAAGGAACAAGAAAGAGAAAAACTCTCAATTTTTATTCATCTCATAACTCTCTTACAATGGAATAGAAAAGACCTATTTATAGCTAAAAACTAAATCACTAAAACTAATCCAATTTGGATAGTTTATTTAGTCACTAAGATTAATCCAATTTGGATAAGGATTTAGTCACTTATTTAGTCACTCAAACTAATCCAATTTGGATAAGGATTTAGTCACTTATTTCCCTAACTACTTTTAAATGGCTAAAATAGCTCACATAGTTGGCCATATTTATTCATAATAATAACTACCTAACCAACTAAACAAGAAAAATCTAACAAAACAAAAGAAACTAAAAACATGAAGATCAAATAGCTAGTGCTCCATCCTCTTCACAATTTCATGTATTTCAACAGAATCTTGAACATCATGGATTGAATTGAAAAAATTCTCAAGCATCTTGGCACGAGCTAGTAATGATCCTAATGCTTGTATCAGGTTATGTAAGGGGATGTCTAGCACTTCTTTTGGCTTTTTTTCACTGCAGATGGGGTTTGAACCCCCGACCTACAGCCCAAAGAGGGATTTAGTCCTTTTTTGGTAGTCACTGAGCTTTATTAATGTAGTTCATGGTTGATAAGTATTTAATTTGAATTTTGATGGATATAATCAATTGTGAAACACAAGTTTTTAATGAGTGATAAATTTTATTATTTTTCTATATATTACTGTTTTATTGTCGCAATTTTTTAATGAGTGATAAAATTTATTATTTTGTTACATATTATTGTTTTAATGGCTACATTGTTGGTATTAATGCCGTGTATTTTGCCATTGCATGGATTTATAGGTTAATCACGTATTGCCCCTTATAACTATGGTCAAGCAGCAAATTGCACACTATGTTCACAGAACTTATAAATTGCTCCCAATTGAGTTGTCAAATGTATGCTTTTATCAAAAAAGACAATTTTGCCTTCATTAGATATTGTCAAATTATCAATTACCTTTTATTTAAAATTTTTTACGAATCAATTACCTTATTCGGTCGGATTGGTAAACCTTCAAACTAGAATGGTTCTTATTAAACTAGTTTGGTTCTTGATTTGTTCATTTATACCCAGTTCTTCAATGCAATACAGTGGTCTTTGACCAAGTTATCAGGATATTTAATGTACTAATAAAACATATATCTATCTAAGACACACTCTTCAAAAGTAGGTTTCTGCATTTTTTGCTATTAACTCTTTTATTTCTTCAATGTTTTCAATTCTTCCCCATTTTTTG